CGGGCCTGGTGTCACTTTAAAGAAGTAGTCCAGTTACACATTTGTGGGCTTATAACTTGGCTTCTGAATATCCTAGAGAGGTCAGGTTTGTTTTAGTGTACTCCAATTAACAGCCCCTATTACTTCAAAAAGGAATGGAGTCATTAGCACTTATGGTTTTTAAATGGCACCCAGAATTATGTTGCACGAAGCACAATTTCACATCATTCTGGGTTCATTTGTGTGAAAACAAGGTCCAATCAGGCGGAAACGTTACAGGAAGGTAGAATCTATCGAGTTGTAAGTGATCTGAACGTTTCATGATGATAGCACTTTCCTAAGGGGGTCAAACCATGTCCCAGAGGTCACCGGATCTGGTGTCAATTTAAAGAAGTAGTCCAGTTACACATTTGTGGGCTTATAACTTGGCTTCTGAATGTCCTAGAGAGATCAGGTTTGTTTTAGTGTACTCCAATCAACAGCCCCTACATTCACAAAAAGGAATGGAGTCATTAGCACTTATGGTTTGTAAATGGCACCCAGAATTATGTTGCACGAAGCACAATTTCACATCATTCTGGGTCCATTTGTGTGAAAACAAGGTCCAATCAGGCTGAAACGTTACAAAAAGGTAGAATCTATTGAGTTGTAAGTGATCTGAACGTTTCATGATGATCGCACATTCCTATAGGGGGTCAAACCATGTCCCAAAGGTCACCGGGCCTGGTGTCACTTTAAAGAAGTAGTCCAGTTACACATTTGTGGGCTTATAACTTGGCTTCTGAATGCCCTAGAGAGGTCAGGTTTGTTTTAGTGTACTCCAATCAACAGCCCCTACAACCACAAAAAGGAATGGAGTCATTAGCACTTATGGTTTGTAAATGGCACCCAGAATTATACTGCACGAAGCAGAATTTCACATCATTCTGGGTCCATTTGTGTGAAAACAAGGTCCAATCAGGCTGAAACGTTACAAGAAGGTAGAATCTAATGAGTTGTAAGTGATCTGAACGTTTCATGATGATCGCACATTCCTATAGGGGGTCAAACCATGTCCCAAAGGTCACCGGGCCTGGTGTCACTTTAAAGAAGTAGTCCAGTTACACCTTTGTTGGCTTATAACTTGGCTTTTGAATATCCTAGAGAGGTCAGGTTTCTTTTAGAGTACTCCAATCAACAGCCCCTACAACCACAGAAAGGAATGGAGTCATTAGCACTTATGGTTTTTAAATTGCACCGAGAATTATGTTGCACGAAGCACAATTTCACATCATTCTGGGTTCATTTGTGTGAAAACAAGGTCCAATCAAGCTGAAACGTTACAAGAAGGTAGAATCTATTGAGTTGTAAGTGATCTGAACGTTTCATGATGATCGCACATTCCTATAAGGGGTCAAACCATGTCCCAAAGGTCACCGGGCCTGGTGTCACTTTAAAGAAGTAGTCCAGTTACACATTTGTGGGCTTATAACTTGGCTTCTGAATATCCTAGAGAGGTCAGGTTTGATTTAGAGTACTCCAATCAACGGCCCCTACAACCACAAAAAGGAATGGAGTCATTAGCACTTATGGTTTGTAAATGGCACCCAGAATTATGTTGCACGAAGCACAATTTCACATCTTTCTGGGTTCATTTGTGTGAAAACAAGGTCCAATCAAGCTGAAACGTTACAAGAAGGTAGAATCTATTGAGTTGTAAGTGATCTGAACGTTTCATGATGATAGCACTTTCCTAAGAAGGTCAAACCATGTCCCAAAGATCACCGGATCTGGTGTCACTTTAAAGAAGTAGTCCAGTTACACATTTGTGGGCTTATAACTTGGCTTCTGAAGTCCTAGCGAGATCAGGTTTGTTTTAGTGTACTCCAATCAACAGCCCCTACAACCACAAAAAGGAATGGAGTCATTAGAACTTATGGTTTGTAAATGGCACCCAGAATTATGTTGCACGAAGCACAATTTCACATCATTCTGGGTTCATTTGTGTGAAAACAAGGTCCAATCAGGCTGAAACGTTACAAGAAGGTAGAATCTATTGAGTTGTAAGTGATCTGAACGTTTCCTGATGATCGCACATTCCTATAGGGGGTCAAACCATGTCCCAAAGGTCACCGGGCCTGGTGTCACTTTAAAGAAGTAGTCCAGTTACACATTTGTGGGCTTATAACTTGGCTTCTGAATATCCTAGAGAGGTCAGGTTTGTTTTAGTGTACTCCAATTAACAGCCCCTATTACCTCAAAAAGGAATGGAGTCATTAGCACTTATGGTTTTTAAATGGCACCCAGAATTATGTTGCACGAAGCACAATTTCACATCATTCTGGGTCCATTTGTGTGAAAACAAGGTCCAATAAGGCTGAAACGTTACAAGAAGGTAGAATATATTGAGTTGTAAGTGATCTGAACGTTTCATGATGATCGCACATTCCTAAGTGGGTCAAACCATGTCCCAAAGGTCACCAGATCTGGTGTCACTTTAAAGAAGTAGTCCAGTTACACATTTGTGGGCTTATAACTTGGCTTCTGAATGTCCTAGAGAGATCAGGTTTGTTTTAGTGTACTCCAATCAACAGCCCCTACAACCACAAAAAGGAATGGAGTCATTAGCACTTATGGTTTGTAAATGGCACCCAGAATTATGTTGCACGAAGCACAATTTCACATCATTCTGGGTTCATTTGTGTGAAAACAAGGTCCAATCAGGCTGAAACGTTACAGGAAGGTAGAATCTATTGAGTTGTAAGTGATCTGAACATTTCATGATGATAGCACTTTCCTAAGGGGGTCAAACCATGTCCCAAAATGTCACCGGGCCTGGTGTCACTTTAAAGAGGTAGTGCAGTTACACCTTTGTGGGCTTATAACTTGGCTTCTGAATATCCTAGAGAGGTCAGGTTTAATTTAGAGTACTCCAATTAACAGCCCCCATTACCCCAAAAAGGAATGGAGTCATTAGCACTTATGGTTTTTAAATGGCACCCAGAATTATGTTGCACGAAGCACAAGTTCACATCATTCTGGGTTCATTTGTGTGAAAACAAGGTCCAATCAGGCTGAAACGTTACAGGAAGGTAGAATCTATTGAGTTGTAAGTGATCTGAACGTTTCATGATGATAGCACTTTCCTAAGGGGGTCAAACCATGTCCCAAAGGTCACCGGATCTGGTGTCATTTTAAAGAAGTATTCCAGTTACACCTTTGTAGGCTTATAACTTGGCTTCTGAATGTCCTAGAGAGATCAGGTTTGTTTTAGTGTACTCCAATCAACAGCCCCTACAACCACAAAAAGGAATGGAGTCATTAGCACTTATGGTTTGGAAGTGGCACCCAGAATTATGTTGCACGAAGCACAATTTCACATCATTCTGGGTCCATTTGTGTGAAAGCAATGTCCAATCAGGCGCAAACGTTACAGGAAGGTAGACTCTATTGAGTTGTAAGTGATCTGAACGTTTCATGATGATCACACATCCCTATAGGGGGTCAAACCATGTCCCAAAGGTCACCGGGCCTGGTGTCACTTTAAAAAAGTAGTCCAGTTACACGTTTGTGGGCTTATAACTTGGCTTCTGAATGTCCTAGAGAGATCAGGTTTGTTTTAGTGTACTCCAATCAACAGCCCCTACAACCACAAAAAGGAATGGAGTCATTAGCACTTATGGTTTGTAAATGGCACCCAGAATTATGTTGCACGAAGCACAATTTCACATCATTCTGGGTTCATTTGTGTGAAAACAAGGTCCAATCAGGTTGAAACGTTAAAGGAAGGTAGAATCTATTGAGTTGTAAGTGATCTGAACATTTCATGATGATAGCACTTTCCTAAGGGGGTCAAACCATGTCCCAAAGGTCACCGGGCCTGGTGTCACTTTAAAGAGGTAGTGCAGTTACACCTTTGTGGGCTTATAACTTGGCTTCTGAATATCCTAGAGAGGTCAGGTTTAATTTAGAGTACTCCAAATAACAGCCCCCATTACCCCAAAAAGGAATGGAGTCATTAGCACTTATGGTTTTTAAATGGCATCCAGAATTATGTTGCACGAAGCACAATTTCACATCATTCTGGGTCCATTTGTGTGAAAGCAATGTCCAATCAGGCTGAAACGTTACAGGAAGGTAGACTCTATTGAGTTGTAAGTGATCTGAACGTTTCATGATGATCACACATCCCTATAGGGGGTCAAACCATGTCCCAAAGGTCACCGGGCCTGGTGTCACTTTAAAAAAGTAGTCCAGTTACACCTTTGTGGGCTTATAACTTGGCTTCTGAATGTCCTAGAGAGGTCAGGGTTGTTTTAGTGTACTCCAATCAACAGCCCCTACAACCACAAAAAGAAATGGAGTCATTAGCACTTATGGTTTGTAAATAGCACCCAGAATTATGTTGCACGAAGCACAATTTCACATCATTCTGGGTCCATTTGTGTGAAAACAAGGTCCAATCAGGCTGAAACGTTACAAGAAGGTAGAATCTATTGAGTGGTAAGTGATCTGAACGTTTCATGATGATAGCACTTTCCTAAGGGGGTCAAACCATGTCCCAAAGGTCACCGGGCCTGGTGTAACTTTAAAGAAGAAGTCCAGTTACACCTTTGTGGGCTTATAACATGGCTTCTGAATATCCTAGAGAGGTCAGGTTTGTTTCAGAGTACTCCAATTAACAGCCCCCATTACCCCAAAAGGAATGGAGTCATTGGCACTTATGGTTTTTAAATGGTACCCAGAATTATGTTGCACGAAGCACAATTTCACATCATTCTGGGTTCAGTTGTGTGAAAACAAGGTCCAATCAGGCGGAAACGTTACAGGAAGGTATAATCTATTGAGTTGTAAGTGATCTGAACGTTTCATGATGATAGCACTTTCCTAAGGGGGTCAAACCATGTCCCAAAGGTCACCGGATCTGGTGTCAATTTAAAGAAGTAGTCCAGTTACACATTTGTGGGCTTATAACTTGGCTTCTGAATGTGCTAGAGAGATCAGGTTTGTTTTAATGTACTCCAATGAACAGCCCCTACAACCACAAAAGGAATGGAGTCATTAGCACTTATAGTTTGTAAATGGCACCCAGAATTATGTTGCACGAAGCACAATTTCAAATCATTCTGGGTCCATTTGTGTGAAAACAAGGTCCAATCAGGCTGAAACGTTACAAGAAGGTAGAATCAATTGACTTGTAAGTGATCTGAACGTTTCATGATGATCGCACATTCCTATAGGGGGTCAAACCATGTCCCAAAGGTCACCGGGCCTGGTGTCACTTTAAAGAAGTAGTCCAGTTACACCTTTGTGGGCTTATAACTGTTGTGAGCTGGGAGGTGAGCACTCCACATACACCATGACATCACCTGGCTTGTGAGTTCTGTTTTCAGGAGAGAGAGCAGCAGCTGCAATCGATCAGCTGATCAGTGGGTGGCCCTCATAAGGAGGACGGAGGACACTGCTAAGCCGCCGGATGATTACGCCTACTGGTAGAGTCCCAGCCACAGTGTTAACTCGATTTTGAAACCTTGACTTTGAACTGTCGGATCTTAGACTTTGAACTTTGAAACCTTAGCCTTGAACTTTAGTAACGTGTTTTTTGCTAGCGATCTTTTGCTCAGATTTTGCTCTCGTTTTGTCTCAGGCTCAGTCATCTTTCCATACACCACCTCCTCGCTGAGACCTTTTGGATTTACTACTCGACCATACTACGTCTGGACTTCACTCCCGGTTCCCGTCCTCCTCACGGCACTAACTGCTCCCAGCACTACAGGCTCTCTCTCTCCTTCCCTCCGGTTGTAAAACCTTGCCGATCTTCATCACCCCGGAATACTCAGTCACTCTCCCAGCTCACCCCTCCCTGGAGATCCTCCATCACGCTACATCTGTAAGTCCTCCTACCAAACTCATCCTCTACCACACTACAGTTTCAATCAAGGACTCACCTCTGTTTCCCTTCCCTCAGACGCTGCTCCCGTTTACCCATTCACTGGATTTCCAGTGCACCCTAAGTTCTAGTTACCAAATAAATCTTTATTTTTTCACATCCTGCTCCCGTGTGTTGATTCTGCATGTCTTGGGATAAATCATTACCTCAGATCATGACAATAACTTGGCTTCTGAATATCCTAGAGAGGTCAGGTTTAATTTAGAGTACTCCAATTAACAGCCCCCATTACCCCAAAAAGGAATGGAGTCATTAGCACTTATGGTTTTTAAATGGCACACAGAATTATGTTGCACGAAGCACAAGTTCACATCATTCTGGGTTCATTTGTGTGAAAACAAGGTCCAATCAGGCTGAAACGTTACAGGAAGGTAGAATCTATTGAGTTGTAAGTGATCTGAACATTTCATGATGATAGCACTTTCCTAAGGGGGTCAAACCATGTCCCAAAGGACACCGGGCCTGGTGTCAATTTAAAGAAGTAGTCCAGTTACACCTTTGTGGGCTTATAACTTGGCTTCTGAATGTCCTAGAGAGGTCAGGTTTGTTTTAGTGTACTCCAATCAACAGCCCCTACAACCACAAAAAGGAATGGAGTCATTAGCACTCATGGTTTGTAAATGGCACCCAGAATTATGTTGCACGAAGCACAATTTCACATCATTCTGTGTCCATTTGTGTGAAAACAAGGTCCAATCAGGCTGAAACGTTACAAGAAGGTAGAATCTATTGAGTTGTAAGTGATCTGAACGTTTCATGATGATAGCACATTCCTATAGGGGGGCAAACCATGTCCCAAAGGTCACCGGGCCTGGTGTCACTTTAAAGAAGTAGTCCAGTTACACATTTGTGGAATTATAACTTGGCTTCTGAATATCCTAGAGAGGTCAGGTTTGTTTTAGAGTACTCCATTTAACAGCCCCCATTACCCCAAATAGGAATGGAGTCATTAGCACTTATGGTTTGTAAATGGCACCCAGAATTATGTTGCACGAAGCACAATTTCACATCATTCTGGGTCCATTTGTGTGAAAACAAGGTCCAATCAGGCTGAAACGTTACAAGAAGGTAGAATCAATTGAGTTTAAATGATCTGAACGTTTCATGATGATCGCACATTCCTATAGGGGGTCAAACCATGTCCCAAAGGTCACCGGATCTGGTGTCAATTTAAAGAAGTAGTCCAGTTACACCTTTGTGTGCTTATAACTTGGCTTCTGAATGTCCTAGAGAGATCAGGTTTGTTTTAGTGTACTCCAATTAACAACCCCTACAACCACAAAAAGGAATGGAGTCATTAACACTTATGGTTTGTAAATGGCACCCAGAATTATGTTGCACGAAGCACAATTTCACATCATTCTGGGTCCATTTGTGTGAAAACAAGGTCCAATCAGGCTGAAACGTTACAAGAAGGTAGAATCTATTGAGTGGTAAGTGATCTGAACGTTTCATGATGATAGCACTTTCCTAAGGGGGTCAAACCATGTCCCAAAGGTCACCGGGCCTGGTGTCACTTTAAAGAAGTAGTGCAATTACACCTTTGTGGGCTTATAACTTGGCTTCTGAATATCCTAGAGAGGTCAGGTTTGTTTTAGAGTAGTCCAATTAACAGCCCCCATTACCCCAAATAGGAATGGAGTCATTAGCACTTATGGTTTTTAAATGGCACCCAGAATTATGTTGCACGAAGCACAATTTTACATCATTCTGGGTCCATTTGTGTGAAAACAAGGTACAATCAGGCTGAAATGTTACAAGAAGGTAGAATCTATTGAGTTGTAAGTGATCTGAACGTTTCATGATGATCGCACATTCCTATAGGGGGTCAAACCATGTCCCAAAGGTCACCGGGCCTGGTGTCACTTTAAAGAAGTAGTGCAGTTACACGTTTGTGGGCTTATAACTTGGCTTCTGAATAGCCTAGAGAGGTCAGGTTTAATTTAGAGTACTCCAATTAACAGCCCCTATTACCTCAAAAAGGAATGGAGTAATTAGCACTTATGGTTTTTAAATGGCACCCAGAATTATGTTGCACGAAGAACAGTTTCACATCATTCTGGCTCCATTTGTGTGAAAAAAAGGTCCAATCAGGCTGAAACGTTACAAGAAGGTAGAATCAATTGAGTTGTAAGTGATCTGAACGTTTCATGATGATCGCACATTCCTATAGGGGGTCAAACCATGTCCCAAAGGTCACCGGGTCTGGTGTAACTTTAAAGAAGTAGTCCAGTTACACCTTTGTGGGCTTATAACTTGGCTTCTGAATATCCTAGAGAGGTCAGGTTGGTTTTAGAGTACTCCAGTTAACAGCCCCCATTACCCCAAAAGGAATGGAGTCATTGGCACTTATGGTTTTTAAATGGTACCCAGAATTATGTTGCACGAAGCACAATTTCACATCATTCTGGGTTCAGTTGTGTGAAAACAAGGTCCAAACAGGCGGAAACGTTACAGGAAGGTAGAATCTATTGAGTTGTAAGTGATCTGAACGTTTCATGATGATAGCACTTTCCTAAGGGGGTCAAACCATGTCCCAAAGGTCACCGGATCTGGTGTCAATTTAAAGAAGTAGTCCAGTTACACATTTGTGGGCTTATAACTTGGCTTCTGAATGTGCTAGAGAGATCAGGTTTGTTTTAATGTACTCCAATCAACAGCCCCTACAACCACAAAAGGAATGGAGTCATTAGCACTTATGGTTTGTAAATGGCACCCAGAATTATGTTGCACGAAGCACAATTCCACATCATTCTGGCTCCATTTGTGTGAAAACAAGGTCCAATCAGGCTGAAACGTTACAAGAAGGTAGAATCAATTGAGTTGTAATTGATCTGAGCGTTTCATGATGATCGCACATTCCTATAGGGGGTCAAATCATGTCCCAAAGGTCACCGGGCCTGGTGTCACTTTAAAGAAGTAGTCCAGTTACACCTTTTTGGGCTTATAACTTGGCTTCTGAATGTCCTAGAGAGATCAGGTTTGTTTTAGTGTACTCCAATCAACAGCCCCTACAACCACAAAAAAGAATGGAGTCATTAGCACTTATGGTTTGTAAATGGCACCCAGAATTATGTTGCACGAAGCACAATTTCACATCATTCTGGGTCCATTTGTGTGAAAACAAGGTCCAATCAGGCTGAAATGTTATAGGAATGTAGAATCTATTGAGTTGTAAGTGTTCTGAACGTTTCATGATGATAGCACTTTCCTAAGGGAGTCAAACCATGTCCCAAAGGTCACCGGGCCTGGTGTCAATTTAAAGAAGTAGTCCAGTTACACCTTTGTGGGCTTATAACTTGGCTTCTGAATGTCCTAGAGAGATCAGGTTTGTTTTAATGTACTCCAATTAACAGCCCCTACAACCACAAAAGGAATGGAGTCATTAGCACTTATGGTTTGTAAATGGCACCCAGAATTATGTTGCACGAAGCAGAATTTCACATCATTCTGTGTCCATTTGTGTGAAAACAAGGTCCAATCAGGCTGAAACGTTAAAAGAAGGTAGAATCTATTGAGTTGTAAGTGATCTGAACGTTTCATGATGATCGCACATTCCCAAGGGGGTCAAACCATGTCCCAAAGGTCACCGGGCCTGGTGTCACTTTAAAGAGGTAGTGAGGTTACACCTTTGTGGGCTTATAACTTGGCTTCTGAATATCCTAGAGAGGTCAGGTTTAATTTAGAGTACTCCAATTAACAGCCCCCATTACCCCAAAAAGGAATGGAGTCATTAGCACTTATGGTTTTTAAATGGCACCCAGAATTATGTTGCACGAAGCACAATTTCACATCATTCTGGGTTCATTTGTGTGAAAACAAGGTCCAATCAGGCTGAAACGTTACAGGAAGGTAGAATCTATTGAGTTGTAAGTGATCTGAACGTTTCATGATGATAGCACTTTCCTAAGGGGGTCAAACCATGTCCCAAAGGTCACCGGGCCTGGTGTCACTTTAAAGAAGTAGTTCAATTACACCTTTGTGGGCTTATAACTTGGCTTCTGAATATCCTAGAGAGGTCAGGTTTGTTTTAGAGTACTCCAATTAACAGCCCCCATTACCCCAAATAGGAATGGAGTCATTAGCACTTATGGTTTTTAAATGGCACCCAGAATTATGTTGCACGAAGCACAATTTTACATCATTCTGGGTCCATTTGTGTGAAAACAAGGTACAATCAGGCTGAAATGTTACAAGAAGGTAGAATCTATTGAGTTGTAAGTGATCTGAACGTTTCATGATGATCGCACATTCCTATAGGGGGTCAAACCATGTCCCAAAGGTCACCGGGCCTGGTGTCACTTTAAAGAAGTAGTGCAGTTACACGTTTGTGGGCTTATAACTTGGCTTCTGAATAGCCTAGAGAGGTCAGGTTTAATTTAGAGTACTCCAATTAACAGCCCCTATTACCTCAAAAAGGAATGGAGTAATTAGCACTTATGGTTTTTAAGTGGCTCCCAGAATTATGTTGCACGAAGCACAATTTCACATCATTCTGGCTCCATTTGTGTGAAAAAAAGGTCCAATCAGGCTGAAACGTTACAAGAAGGTAGAATCAATTGAGTTGTAAGTGATCTGAACGTTTCATGATGATCGCACATTCCTATAGGGGGTCAAACCATGTCCCAAAGGTCACCGGGTCTGGTGTAACTTTAAAGAAGTAGTCCAGTTACACCTTTGTGGGCTTATAACTTGGCTTCTGAATATCCTAGAGAGGTCAGGTTTGTTTTAGAGTACTCCAGTTAACAGCCCCCATTACCCCAAAAGGAATGGAGTCATTGGCACTTATGGTTTTTAAATGGTACCCAGAATTATGTTGCACGAAGCACAATTTCACATCATTCTGGGTTCAGTTGTGTGATAACAAGGTCCAATCAGGCGGAAACGTTACAGGAAGGTAGAATCTATTGAGTTGTAAGTGATCTGAACGTTTCATGATGATAGCACTTTCCTTAAGGGGGTCAAACCATGTCCCAAAGGTCACCGGATCTGGTGTCAATTTAAAGAAGTAGTCCAGTTACACATTTGTGGGCTTATAACTTGGCTTCTGAATGTGCTAGAGAGATCAGGTTTGTTTTAATGTACTCCAATCAACAG